TGTGTGTGTGTGTGTGTCAGTACTTCACAAGGTAAGGCCTTACCTCACTGGTCATACTGGTCATCACCTCACCTTACATCCTACATAATGGGATGGAAAGGTTGACTGAGTCTCTGTATTGAATGAGGTGGCATGGGGAAACCATGCATTCTGTGTCTGTGGAATAAGCAGAATAAGTATAGATTTCCAACCTTTTATGGCTTTAAAATGAAGCAGTCTCATTTTTTTAATTTTCTTAAATTTACCATAGTTTATTGGCTGTGTGTAGAAACCTAATATCTTAAAGGAAGTGCCACAGGAGGTGTAACTCTAATACCATTAGTTGCTTTAGTGTAAAGGGACAGTGCCTTTCCTCTAGACGGGCTCTATAATCAGTTCTCTCTGTGGCTACACCTTGACATTTACTCAGTTAACATGGGTAATGTGACATGGATGGGGAAAATGGAGAGCGGGGAGCGGAGGAGAGGAACCCGGAGTGTAAAAGAAGAGCAGAGGACAAGGGAAGGATGAGAGTGTAAGAAGAGGAGGGGAGACAGGAGCCGGTGAACAGGGGTGCAGCGTCACTTCATTGGGTTTACTAACAAGTAATGGGCTCAAAAGTGTGTGTGGGTGGATGGAGTCTGCCAGTTGATGGATGACCTGTCGAGATAAAGGAGGGGGGTTGGTTGGTGGAGAGAGACGGAGCGATAGAGAAATGGAGGAGGAGGAGGAGGGGATGGGGCACTTTAATGGTGACAGGGGGTCATTCATCTGTCTGCTGGATCTGACCAGCCGGTCACTATGGGAGATCGGACCGCTCACCAGCATCTCCGCTCAACGCCTCGCTCTCTTTTGTTGCCTTTCACCTTCTGTCCACACTTCCCAACTCTTCTTCTGCTTCCTCTGGAGTTCCCCGGCGACTTTTTAATGCTCTCCGCACATAATGTTTCATGCATCTCCCTCCTAACTCACAGTGCCGTCTCTTCAGCTCTTGGACTTCTAGTTTCAGTGCACTTCTTCCCAACTGTCTGTGGCACGTCTGCTGAAGTTTCATTTGCTTTCAGCACAGTTAAGTTCAGTCCAACTGAGCACTTCAGCTTCTTTTTATCTTTTACTGTTTAAACTGCAGTTCAAATACTTGTTCACTCTTCTGCTAAGAGAACTCCCACTTCCAATGTTTGTTCTGCTGCTTTCAGTGACCCACACACTGACAAAGACTTAAACTTGAACTTTTGACTCTTACCCTTACACTTGAAGCGTTTTTACCTGTTTACACCTGCAGTTGTCAGTATAAGCAAGCACACTTGAATTTTCCTCAAAATGTAGCCTTCTCTAGTTCTTGTCGGACATTCTTTGCTCAGCTCTCTCCTTCTCCTTTCTCATGTGCTACCGCTCTGTCTTTACTTCCTGCTTTTTCCCTCCCTTTTTAAAAATCTCCCCATGTCCCATTTACCCTCCAGAGGGACTAATAAGCAGCATTATGAGTCAGTGAGAGGAGAGAGAAGCAGATGGGATTCAGCTTGTCGGCCAGATAAGGGTTTTTAACTCTGCTGCGTCTTATCACACCCTGTCACTGCTACTTAAACTGAACAGATACTGCCTGGCATTATGTATAGACTGGTAAAAATCCTCAAACCGAGATAGTCGAAGTTCTGTCTGAAGCATGTTGGAGTAATCCCTGTACTTAGGGCCGCTAGTGATTTCAGAGTACTAATTTCAATGCAGCGATGCTGAGATGGGCGACTTTTTCGGGTGGTTCACAAAGGCAGCAGCCGCCCAGGAGTTGACTCAGTGTTATTGCGCATCAATTAATCAACATCTTGGTCATAGAGTAGAATTTGTAATTAGATTTTAGGTCCATTTCTTGCCAGTTGCCGGGCATATTTCTCATCTGCATTCTGGTCAGTGCCCCGTGTGTCCGCATGCTCATCATTTAGTGACACACGAGGCCATTTGGTGACATAACAGACAACATTTTGTAGTCGGTGAGAGCTGCTTTCCATCAGCCATCATTATTTTTAATTACTTTATTTCCCTGCCTTCCCCCACTGTGCTTGTTGTGCACCACAGCAGAGTACCACAGGAAGCAGCCTCTGTCAGGAAGCAGACTCAAAGATCTAAACCTGTGAAGCTTCAAATTAGACTAAATCAAGGCACAAAATAGATCACAGAGTGTTGTATCTCTAGTGGTGAGAGTCACATTTTGGCAAGCATAAGCAAAGTGTAAATTGGTGCTTTAAAATGATTTTAAATTATGTATGTATCAAACTAGGGCTGAAACTAGCAGTTATATTATATATATTATATTGTATATTATATATATTATAGCCTGACCCTTAAACTTTTCATCTAGTCTCTACCTGGGTCTGTAAATACAATACAAATACATTTCTACTAAGTTTTATGTAAAGAACTGTGTAATTGTGTAATATTTATTAAAATTGGAACATAGCTCCTTATAAACCCAAGTAAATAATAATGCATTACCCATTCTTCCCTAGAAACTTAAAGCTCCATGTGTTTAGTAAATGTAACTTTCTGTTCAGTTGACCTGCTGTGCCCTGATGGAAAGAGTCTCTGGGTTATGCCACCAGTTAATTGGAAATAATTAATTGGAAATGTACCAATTGAACACTGACTTGTTTTCTCTATAATTAGTACCAAATTACACATGCTTTTGCTGTGTTTAATGCTAAATATTAGCAAATGTACACATGGTAAACATCTGCATGTTAATATTGTCATTGTGAGCATGTTAACATGCAGCTCACGGCACCACTGTGCCTAAGTATAGCCTCGCTGAGCCGCTACAATGGCTGTGGACTAATTTTCTGTCGATTGACTAATTGGTTCAGCTCTAGATAGATAGATTGATGTATGTCAGTGTCTGCCAGTCTGTATCTGTCTAGTTCAGTGTCGGTGTAGCCATTTATATCTCTCTGTCCTCGGACAACCATGTAAATGTATGCATCTTACACTGGCAGATGGAGTGGGAATTAATTTATATTCAGCAGCCTTTGTTAAGTCAGTGATAGACTGCTGAGCTTACAAAAACACACACACACACACACACACACACACACACACTTAAGTACACATACATAAACGTCACTCAAGGAAAACAGCACTCTCATGCACTGCTGCACTCTGAAGTCAGTGACATCAACTGCTGCAGAGAGAGGCAAACAGGAAGACGATGTGTTCCTCCTGCCCTTGACAGGTGCTTAGTGTCTAAATGTAGTGTACAACCTGTGTGTGTTCACCTGTGTGTTTGTGTGCATGTAGGCAGTGTTTTATGCCCGTTGATGCACTGGTGACTAACAGAGGCCATTGCAATGACAGCATGACTCAAGCAATAGTGCACTTTACAGTAATATAGGCAGATTTCCTCCTGGTGCCTGTCAATACAGTGAGTGGCAGAAGTTCATTCGGAAAGTCACATGTCCCCAAGAATCGGCCACTGTGGGCATTTTTACTGGTGAATCTCCTTGGGTTTTAGATTGCTCATCAGCTCACTGGGGCGAGGTTGATGCTGCTTGTCATCTCGTTGTCATCCTGCGTGATATGCCTCAGTTTGTTGAGGAAGGATTGCAGAAGTGAGTCGTTAACCAAAGTCCTCTTCACAGGGAACACGGCCTGACAAGCCAGCAGTGGGGTTGGAGCCCTTGGGGAGACAACAGGGAACGTGAAATCATTAGTGTTGTGACAAACAAACCGTATTTACAACTAATGTCCACTCCTCGTAAAACCCAGTCATCTCAGCTCATTTCACCACTACGTGTCTCGTCTTGTCACGTATCGTTTGACTTCCTGTTGTTACCAATTATCTCGTCTGACATCTTGTCTGATCTGATTGGAAGTTTGCTCTATTTGTTGGTTTCTGAGTAAAGAGGGCTGTGTGGAGAGAGTGATGGTGTGCTCATTTGCATATAAATGACAGCAGTGTCTGAGGTGCTGGGCCCTCGCTCGTTTGTCATTTCGTGGCGATTCAATGTCCGCATGTTTATGTGTGTGCGTGTGTTTTTCCTCTGTACTGAAATGTTTCTTTGCTCTTTTCTCTGTGTCAATCAGCTCTGAATCTTGAAGGCTTCCATGAGACTATCCGATGGCTTTTCCAGTTGGAAAAAATCAATTGACTCGTCCTGCAATGTAAAACAGGCATGTGATCATATCGGCCAGAGCGAAAAACTTCAGATAATTGTGAGGAAAGTGCGATGGAATGAAAACTAACAGGGTGCATTAACTGCTCTGATATGCTCTTGGTGAACAACAACTGTCTGGTTTGATGTTGCATCCATTTTTGTTTTACTAAAGGGAAGACAATTTCCTGCCAGAGACTCTCTTTAAAAGCCTTGAAGTGTTCTCACGTATCGTCTCAGAGTGTTTTTGTAACGGGAATCCTGGCTGACTTCTCCAACTATTTACTTATAAACCCAAAAATAGACCAGATAGCAGTCTGAGGCCTGTTTACCACACATCATATTCACACTGATATTAGGTGTATTATTAGATTTGTCCTCAGGCTTTAAAGGTAATGGAATAAACCCAGTGCTGTGACATTTGTGGGAAACCCCGCCAATGACACATTTTTGACCGTAACACAGCCTTAGGGCTGGGAAATGGGGCCAAAATATGACAGCACAGTAATGATAAATGTTAAGATGGATACCGCCAGTATTATATGATCATGTTTTAAATATGCTACACTTTAAAGCATTAAAGAAACAGTACTCGACACAACATACAGACT